TGCAGCAGATAATTTCCTGAAGCCATTTTCTCAGCATCCATACAAGGCACCAACTCCACATGACCCAGTTTGGCACCTTCTGCATAGGAGCGGCGTCGAAAATCACGAGCCTCCTCTTCGCTAATGGCCTGCACAATGCGTTTCGCATCCCCAAACCAAGCAATGGCTGCAAGAATGCAATTGCCCGCTGCCTCCAATGGGCTACCTGTTGGCATAAGAATTTCTTGGTTAGAAGCTAAAGACCGGATCATCTGGAGCACTGTCATGTGCTTCTTCTCACGGATTCTGACACGAAACCCAGTAGACTTGGCGATGAAATCCTCACTGGATTGACATATGTCGTCAGCTGACATACCTTCAATTTCAGATATGCGGACGCCATCGAAATGCAGCGACAAATGCGTTGGGTTCAATCCCTGTAGATATTGGCACCAAGCAGTCAGAACATAATCTTCAGTCGCCAAATACAGGTGAGCAAGAATTGACATATCAGGATTTTGTTTCTTTGCGTCTCCAGAGCAGAACTTAACAAATTCATCTGTGAGAAGGGATATCTTCTTGCCGCGTTCCCTGTGCACCTTCAGCTCCTCAAGACAGATCTGATCTCTGGCACTGACGCATCTTTCCAACGCTGTAGCAAGATTGTCAGGAAGGCGAGGAGATACATCAAGCTTCTGAAGCAACTGAGAAAGCAAAGTGAACACCGAATTGTGAATGTCCAGGTCATGCGTATGCGGCAGCAGCGGCATTTGTGCCCGTCTTGTGAATTTCTGAGCGCCTAAGCCATCCACTGTTTTCCGTGTACGCAGACCTGTCGTGTTTGGGTACGCGTAATGGCAGCGTACATTGGCCCACTCCTGAACATCAACCCTTAGAAGTTCTTGTTTAACTTCTTGTCTCTGTCTCCAATTGATCATTCTCTCTTCTTTTTTTCACTTCGACTTTTACGTCAGACCCTGTGGCCCCTGATTCGTCCGGAGACTTGACTCGGTGTCTCTTTCGGGCAGGGCTTTCCTGCGTACGCTGTGAACTCACCAGCTCTGGTGCAGAAAGTTTGTCAAGCAATCCTAAACAAAGAGTTTCGTGCGTCATCATCTTCTGTCTCTTGTCAGCATGCTCTTCCTTTTTGGCCTTTGTCGTCTCATCCGGCCGTCCAGCTCGAGCTTTGGCAGCAGAGAGAGACTTGTGAACGTCGGCCAAGATTTGGGCGTTGTCTGCCCGCATTGGATTTCCCCGAACATGTTTTGCAAAGGCTGACAATGCATATGGTTCTTTCAATATTGGACAGCTGCTCCGGTCCATGTGTGAGATCAAGCTGGAAAGCTTGACCTTGGTCTTCAAGCCGGGAACAAATACATCAGAGGTTTTGCCACGGGGCATCGGCAAGATAACAATGTAGTTCGACAGCATGCTTTCTCTCAACTGCTCCTTGTTGACATTTGGTGCGTCCTTGAACTTCATCCTCTGGGGCATCGGCTTTGTGATATCAATACGTCTTTCAGAAAGGAGACGCTCCACCAAGCCCTCGGATATTCTCTGCCACTGTGCATCGTCATCCTCCATGGGCTCGACAAGGTCCGTGTTAATCACTGCAGCAATACGGTTGATGTTTCCGCGAACATCGCGCGGAGGCATATGCCTCAAGCCTCTCGCATTGCCTGCTCAGTGAGCCCTCTGTCACCGCCCCTCACCGCCCCTAGGGCTCAGCGAGCCCTGCTTACTGAGTAAGCATAGTCTTCTAACATGCGCAAGCAATCTTCTCGGCTGAATTTCATTTCAAAGGCATTTTGGATTTGGAGAGCTGCAAGTACGGCAGGCCCCGACATTAAGAAGTCCTTGAAATCTGGATCCTTTGGGAATACACCATCTCTCCACATGTCTTCATAAGCTCCTTCAAGCAAGAGCACCCTACAGAGCAAAACCGTTCCTAAAGCAGATAAGCTGCTTCCTAGGCCTAAGTTTCTTACACGCAGTTTCACACCCAGTCCTTGAATGGCTTGAGGATCTTCAAACCGGGACATGATTCGCCATACAAAAGAACGACGAAGCACTGCGTTAAAGTCTTTCTTGCTGACGCCTTGCAACTGAAACACGCGATTGGCTTCTAGACGCTTCCAGCCAACGCAATGGATCAGCCGCGTCAGCAATCCGTATGGCTTTCGGCCAGAAATACCCTCTGCACTCATGAACTTTTTGTAGAGGTCTTCACGGAGCCTCTTGTTCGTGCCCGGTGTCTCTTGTCCTTCGTTTGCCAGCCAAGTTGAAAAGAATGCTTTCAAGCAAACAAGGTCTCAAATTCACGCTACGCTACGCTACCACTTCCTCCCGCCTGTCAGAATGAAGCACCCCTGCAGCTGTTCGACTTGCTTCCGCATTTCATCCTCAATAACCACCAGACGTTAGGGTCAAAGTAAGCTGCCACCGTACATAGCCTTGCGACAGGACAATTCACACAGGAAAAATATTTGATTTTGGGGTTTGTTCAGTCTTCTTTGTACATAACACATTAAAAGATATTGTGCCTCTAGGTGGGATGAGAAGAGAGACTGACCAACGCCCCCGGAAGACAGGCCGATGAAGACGCGAACAATGTTGAGTCCTCTCTTGGCAAGAGCTTGCGCGGCCTGACAGCATTTGAATACACCGACGTTGCCCCAGAACGTTTGTTTGTAGAATTTTCTGAGTCGGACAATCACAGAATGCGGCACCCGCGCATAAACATCACCAACATCCTTCCGTAGCACCTGACGGGCTACTTCATCTTCGTTGTCATAGCGGATGCAGCAGTCTTCATAACACACGCCAGGCTTTGACACTTTAGGTGTGTCACACCACTCAACCATGTAATTCCACAGCTTCTCGGAACTCACGAATCACCCGGCTCTTCACCTGAAGTACAAGTATTCTCCCATGTCTGGGGTCTTTGGCCACTTCAGCTTCCTCATCTATTTTGCCTTTTGATGTGATGGTCACCTAAATTACTAACTGCTGCCTTGATGCACTTTGATGCAAAAGCGACACCATCTCCATCAGCTCTCCACATGCTCTCCGCAGCATCTACAAGTTTTTTGGGATCTCGTTCCACTTCTTCGGGTAACCGCCGGAACAAGCCCTCAAGAGAAATGACTGAACTCGACCAGAGTCTGGTGGAATGCCCTTGTATCTCTGGAATGCCCCAGTTGGACGCAGCATCCAGCAATCACCGTCGTGAAAGCGTAAGTACCTTTCACCCTCGATGATCCGTAGCTGCAACCACCAAACCATGCCAAATACAGATCCCTTCATGACGTAGAACTTCGGGCGCCCCCCCGTTCTCTCCATTCACCAGGCTCCTCACGGCTGACGTCCAATTGTTCCAACCGTTGCAAGACCTTGACTGAAGAAAACCACTGAGGGAGAGGAAGCAAGTCCCGCTGGGCAGTTGAGTCCTTGCGTGGGGGCTGATTTGACCATGACAAGCAATCGCTCAGTAATTTGCTCTTGCAAACCTGAATAGCCACATGCCTGGCCAGTTGCGCTGCACTGTAACCACCCGGGTACTCTTCAGCAAAGAAGGCAAGTAGGCGGGGTCCGACTGCCGTCAGGTCGTCATCTGCACTTGTCGCTTGCCGCTGCCTTTTTCTTTGCCCTTCTTGCCTTTTCCCTTCGTCGAAGTCCACGAGCCTTTCCCTTTCGTCCAAGAAGGGCGTCTCTGGGATTTTCCTTTTCCTTTTGAGCTGACCTCGTTCTGGAGAGGGGCCTTTTCCTTCTTCTGGATCCTTCTGCTTGACCACTGCCCGCTGAGCCTTCTCTATCTCGGCGTCTATCACCTTGCTCCAGCCTTCCTTCTTGTGCCCGCGTCTCTTCTCTTCGAATCGGACCCTTCTCTCTGGGGCTCCGTCAGCGCCTTTCGCGGGATCTTTCCAAGCGCTCCTTCTTTCGATCTTCATGGGCCCTGGACTCTGGCTGCGACTCACGGGTCTGCCCGGCTCCAGGCCTGACCCGCTGCCGACTTCCTATGTGATCGGCTTCTTTGCTTTCTGAACTGCCTCCTTCAGTTTGAGCGCCCTCAATTCTGCCTTGGCGGCGAGTTCTCTCTCCTCCTCCGTCGTCATGGCCGCGGCGCTCGGAGGGATCAACTCGAGGTGCTTGGCCATGCTCCAACCGCCTCGCCTCTACGGCTTTCAGCCTCTGCATCAACAGATCGATCGCCTTCTCGGTCTGGGCGGACAGGAGTTAGTCCAGGGACATGGCCAGAGTGACCAATTTGCGGCGATTGCGTAGGCCGAACTGCGCTGGAGGATGAGCCTCGTTCCTGGCGCCCTGCTAGGTACCTTGTCATCTCGTCTAATGACTTCTGCGCCAGTCGCCCGGGCTTCTTTTGAGCGATTCGCCACACTTCCCCTCCCCGGGCAGGCCACCTGAAAAGGCGAATCACTCTCTGAACTCGACTCCCCGCAGCTACCTCAGGTGCTCGACGACCACCGCTTCCAATGGCAGACGTCACAAGGGTCTCCTCCTCGAGGCCATTGAGAAGGATTGAGGGGACCAAGTCGCCGTCCAACCCTCTCTCTTCTCCATACTTTGTAAGCACCTCAAGTGCTGTACTCATCTGTCCCCCTCAACCAGAATCTTGAGATCTCTGGCTCCGCCAGGGGACCTTCAACTGGAAACACACCTCCTCCTGTCCCCGAAAGGAGGTGGGTGCCTCCGGCCCTTCACTGAGCCGACACTTCACGGGTTCATGTACGTGCATAAACCTGCACAGCACAAGACATATATTTATACTATATTATATTATATTGTATTATATTACTTTATGTTATATTATATATGTATAATATATTATATCACTATATATGTCCAGATCTCAGGACAGTGAAATAGTTTCCGATGAATGCAAAACAGTTACTGAAGGCTAGTTGCTGAAGAGCACAAGAAAGTTTCAGAAGAATGAAGAGCTTTAGAATAGGACTTTGTTCACCTCAGGACGTTCCTTTCTGGCTGCAGCACCAAGACGCCGATCCAAATGTCCGTCGCTTGCCGCAAAGCTTAAAGAAGTTCATTGCTCAGTTGCAAAGCGGCAGCCTGCCGAGACACGCTTACTGGACAAAAGACCGAAAGCCGCAAATTCGGAGCAGCCTTACTACTAGTGGCTTGCTACTGCTAGCAAGGCACCTTGCTACTAGTAGCAAGAAGCTACTAGAAACAAGCATAGAATATGCAATTCTGGCTGATTGGTTCATCTTTGGCATTGCTTATGGTTTGGGCCTTGCAACTCTCGGCTAGTTCAAAACGCTAAAATCGAGGCGCATGACCTGCAAAGCACAATGAAACTCAATTAGGGTGCTAAGTCACTGTAACGATCCCCCCAGCCGTTAACATGATCCTCACACCTTTGCGCAATCTTGTGCAAGCATGATCAACACAGCCTGGTGTCAAGGCCAACTGCACAAGCTGTCCAAAATCCGCCAACGAGGTGCGACTAGTTGCCACTGTCAAGCGCATGTGACTGCGGCGTTTGCTTCTGTGGAAAGCTCAGAAACTTTCAGCTCCATACGACATCTATTTGCATCTATTTGCGACATCTTACGACTCTACTCACTCTGGAAGAGATACGGATCACATGTCACGCTGACGCTAAGTTACTATGACTCGCAATGGACATAGGACAAGTTGTCAGGGTGTCTGCAACAGTTTCCTGTTGTTGATTGATGTGCTGATGTCTGTTATGTTGTCATCTAAAAGCTGGAAGCTGCCATCGGGTGTCAACCCATGAAACCCTTCAAAAAAGCAAATTGAACGTCCAAGACATGATAAGACTGTTTCTCCGTACTTGCCAAAGATTGATCAGGTAATCGAAACTTCTAACAAGGGCAAATCGATACAGACTACAATAAGAATGAGACTTCTTTCAGAACTCAGACCTGATCGTCACTAAAGTCTTTTCACGAAAACGATTTCTTCGCTCTGGAGACACGTGTGGTGCCACCTGTGGTTGGCCTCAGTCCCAGCTTGGTCCAAATGACATTCTTTTTCAGGCAAAAGCACAAAGGCCCAAGATCACAAGCACTGTGGGCCGCACTTCTTGCGTTTTGCCAGCCAAGCAACCTGACAAGGAAACAGGAACAAAATGGAAAAATATCCGCATTCCCTCAGACCAAGATTTAGACCACGAGGCCATGATCTCGCCGTGATGCCCGGATCTGAGCACCAACCCGTTGAGAAACACCCTCAACAACAGCCTCGTCCCTAGTTTCAAAGCTGGAGTGAGCTGGAAAGACATGAAAGAAGTCCAGAGCCCTGCCTCCCATCCCAACTTCTGCAGCATCGCCGGTTCGAAGCCAATGTCTAGCTGCCCCCGCAGAGCCATCTGTGAACGCAAGAAGTTGGGTGCAAGAAGGTTATTTAGGAGGCCGGGCCGGGCCTTCTCATCCTCTTCAGTGGCCACAAGAAAGAAATGTCCGGAATTCTGAAGGCTCAAATATTCATTTCTGCCCTGAAAAGACTTGGAAATGATTTCAGCTGCTCCTTCAGCAGCATGTACATTCGCTTCAGCGCGGCCTGGCAGGATTGGGAAAAGCTTCCCAAGCTTTCTCCACTGACCCGATCCCTTTCGCACCTCAGTCTGCTTGGGGCCCAAAGCTGCAAAAGCTCCATCGGCCATAAGCCCAATGTCCTGAGAGTCCCGAACTGCTCCGAACATCGTGGAATTGGGACACCGAGTCGTGGAAGCTAAGTAATGGGCTACGGAGCTTGGCTTGAGTTTGTTTGGGATACCTGCCTCTGCAGAAAAAAGGAAATGCCAAGCATGACTTGCGCTACATTCACACGTTGTTTCAACGATCTACTGATGTCATGTTTAGATAGTTAGATAAGCTTAACATGCACTCTGTATCTCAGTGGTGAATGAAGCTGAGACATGATTCTTGCAAGAGCACCGCAACCAGGCGCCTTCCTCCACACCACAGCCTGGAGCTGGGCTCCCATGCCCTCTGCTGTCTGCACAAGTGGCGCAAGCCAAAGACGGTATTCGCATTAGCACCCATTGGCAACACTACCCAGTCTGCGCCCGCCCCCACCCGTCACATGCCAGCTGTGCAGCAGCCATTTCCTCCATTGCTTTCTTTTCAATGCGCTCTGCATAGAGTTCGCCCACCGCTATGATCTTGTCCATATACCATTTGCCTGAAGCCATGCTCAGTCATCCAGGGACATACCCTATAGCTCATATCAATATGGCACCACTAGATACCACTAGTAAGCTCCCAACAGTCAGTCGGTCTCAAATATGGCCAGTACCTGAAGAATTGCATTCTTCAGCTAAGAATGTAGTGTCTCTCCACTCATCAAAGCAAAACGAGTGACTCGAGTGACCCCGCTTCCGCTCGCCGCTCCTGGCACTCGTTGGCTCAATCTCCATCGCCACCATCAGCGTCTTTGGCGGTGGTGTAGGTAGCCAGCGATCCAAGGATTCGCACACCTCACACAGGTGAGATGATTTCCAGCTGCTTTGCTAGCAGTTTTCAAATCCAAAGGATTGAAGAGGATGATGTTTCGTTGTTTGGGTGTGGACTTGACTCTACTACTGCTGTTTGGATGAACCTCTAACAACTTCAACACCTTAGGCCAGCACAAAGTTCTCTCGCTGAAATGAGCCTGGGTCCTGCAAAAGCACCAGCGAGACACACGCAGGCATGAATTCCTAAGCGAATGCCCATCCATACTCCGGCCAAGAACAGTGTCGGTAGACAGTGCAGGCTTTCCAAATGTGAATTCAGATGGTCTCCAGCAGATTGCCAAAGAGCTGTCGCTGCGGCAGCAAACGTTGCTGGACAGGCCTCGAAGTGATACCTTGTTCAAGCGGAGATTTCTCAGGATGCTTGTTCAGCATCAATGTGGGCCTCGCCTGATGTGGGGAAGCCCCAACACAGTGACGAGGTCCACCACAATCCCGCCTTAGATTCGCCCGTTTCAGGATTTTGCCGGTGGCACTTGAGGCGGTGCAGTTGCGCTCGTTTGTCTTGCAAAGACATGCCATGACATTCCTGCCGAGATTTGATCTGGAAGGCTCAGCCCTGAACAGCTGTGGCTAAGGCGCATGAAACATCGCGCCTATGCTTGGTGCATCAAAGCCACAAGAAGCTGTGCAGGGTGATTGAGCATGATCACGCAGACATGTGAAATCTCGTACATGTGCCTGAAAATCAGCTGCCTCTGCCACTTCTTGTGCCAGTTCAAGCTACTTCTCGCACCAATCCCTCGCGCTGACGGGACTCTTCCAATGGCCGCAAGAGTCCCGTACCACTGCCGATGGATGGAAAAAGAAAGGATGAGCCTTGGTCTCTTTGTTGCACCCTATCTAGGGGATGAGCTTGAGAAGTCTGCCCTGCCATCGCTCTCCCCAATTTAGAAGAATGCCAGTCGCGGTCGCAGTCGCAGTTCTTAGAGTGCCAGGTATGAATACCAAAGACCAGTCCAGAACTCTCACATATTATACGTAATATGTAGATCACGTAGGTTGGAGGGATACCCGCTTGTTTGTTGCTGTTTGTGGTCACTAGCAAACAAGAATGCTTGTGTCAGCGACATCAGAACTTGTGTGCGTGTGTGTGTGTGTGTGTGTGTGGTGTGTGTATTTGTCTCCAGTGTAAGCAGAATTCAGACAATTTCATACAATTTCATGCATTCTACAGGCAAGTGGTCAATGAAGGGCATTGTCTGGCTGCCCGCATGGATCCCCATGGTCTTGGTTGCACCAATTTGGCTGCTTTCACCACCCTCCAAGGGCAGCTGTTAAGCTGGAGCTGCTGGCCGAACAAAGTGTGACTGAAATGCCACCCCTCCCTCTGTTGTGTCAACTGCAGCACGAAACCCAGATGCTTGGAGTTCTAGTGTGAAAGTCGATGTTTTCTGAAGACACTTCAAGTCCTGCGCTGACTTTGAGCTTTGCCCAAGGATCTTGGAGCCTGCGCTGACTTTGATGCGCCTTTGAGACCTACTCTGGGTGGTGCCGGTGCGTCATCGGCTGAGATCGCCCCCAAGCGATGTGGCAACGGCAAGAGCCCCGAACTACGAACTTGCTGGGCTCGCAAGAGCACCAAGGCGACGAAGATCGCCAAAAGCAGAAATATGCACATACAGGCCACGCTGACTCCTATGGAGGCAGGCAGGTCCCAAGGGTGAGACGTATAATATGCAGCACATAGAAACTGAAATAGGCTTCCAACAAAATGAAATGCGTTGATACCAATTTTGTACGGCAGGACCTGGTCAAGGTCCTCTTCGCTGGCTCTGCACACAGCGAGCAGCGAAGCACCAGGAAGGTAGTGGAGGGCAGAAGGGCTCAACTCTGAGTCGAGTTCTGGAGGTAGTGCTGTTTGTTGCGGCCTCCTCGTGCCAATTCGATGCTGAACATTCTTGTATCGAAGCAAAGTCCAGCTATGACCATCTCGCCTTTTCAGAACTTCGTAAGCCAAACATCGGCCGGCAGCAGGAAGCACGCCAAAGAAAAGAAATGCTGCACCATGGAGTGATGCTGCAAACAACAGGATAGCTGCTTGTATCACACTGAGCTCATCCCAGTATGGCGCTTCCCGGGCAAAGCGCGCGTGAAGCAGATCTAGTAGAAAAGCAACTCCTAGAGATACATCCGCCACAATTAGGAGCTCCCAAACAAGCCAAAAGGTGTGGGGAAGCTCCAAATTCTGAAGCACAGTCTGTGGCCTTCCCCGTGCACAGCAATGAATCGACAGCCCTAAGGTCAGGCATCCGATGAGAGTCGACGGAATCCAAAGCCAGTCCCAGGGTGTCAAGCCATGTTGAACTCGAATCACTGGCGCAGCTGTGGTTGACAACACATAGAATGGCTCGCTGAGGTCCAATGGTGCCCTCGTTGGGGTCATTGTAATTGGTGGCAGCTCAGGATCCAATGTCCGGACCAAGAGCACTGCGACTCTCGGGCTTCGATGCTCGTCATCGGCCTCTGCTTCGCAGGACCTCGGCTGGAGCGTGATCACACAGTATCAAATTGGGCGAAGTGTTTGAACATAGGTGAAGTGTTTGGGCCAAAATGTTTGCCCAGTCGCTTGTTGGATCTCACTGAGATACCGAAGTGTTTCATTGGGATATCAAGGGTTTCAATCCTCACTGGGCTATTCCTGAAACACACGTGTGACGGTTTGACTCCTTGCAAACCTGACTCAAGCCCTTTGGTCCGTACGCTTCCGAGCTCCCCACAACGTGTACGTGGTTGATGGCTGAAGATTTCCCATTGAAAGTGCGCAGCCCTGGTTGGTACATACTGCGGAGGTAGTGGGAGCACTGGTCGCATCGGTTGAAGAGACATTGCCTCAGCGGAAAAGCAAGGATTCATGAGATCATACAATTCTCGTGAGATTTCATGAGCCATGATAAGCTCGTACCTACAGGTCACTGAGTCAAGGACAACGAACGCGTGCATCTTCTTCGACAGAAGCCAGCATCTGTGCCTAAGAGAAGCTCAAGTTCAAGCAGTGCACCAGTCAAATCACATCAAATCACCATCCCTCCTATCGATCTGGTGACGTCCGTCTTAATGTGTCGAGTCCGCTTCGGGCTCTGACGCTGTTTGCGGTCACCGAGCGAATGCGCAGCGGCAGCATGGTCTCATCGCCTGGTGCCGAAAAGAAGCACCAAATGCCACAAGGCCCTTTCCACGGCCGTGAAGCTGGCACTGCAGCCAAGGCACCAAAACGACCGCCACTCTGTTCCCAAACACAGTTGGCCTGATATGCGTAATAGGGGCCATTGCAGTCGCAGCCTCAACTTCGAGATCGTAGCCGCTGAGCATGATCATAACGAAATATGAAAAGCCCGCAAATTCGAGACTCTAGGTTGGAGGCCATTGCTCATATGAGGCATAGTCAGCCAGCGCTGTGCTGCTACTCCCGTTCGGAAAGGAGCGGAGCTGAGCCCAACACCGGTAAGACCAGCTGTCCGGTTCGGAGTCTTCGGTCCGTAACGCCCGTAGCTGTCCCCACAATGACATTTCCCTCGCATCCTCGGATGGAGACGTGGCGCTGAGACGGAATGTGAAAATGAGTCTCCTTCGATAGACTCGGGATCCAACATGTGTGTCTGTGTATATGTGTGTCAAGACTAACAATACACATGTTCAGCCCCAAGCCCTGCATGAAGATCAGGAAAACGAGTTTATCTTCACTCTAAGCTCATGGCTGCAGGCCGAAGTACTGCGTCCCAAAACAAACATCAGCCTCAGCATGGATATTTATATATATATATATATAACTTGAGCTGAAGGCCAAACGAAACATGGAAGCCACTGAGCTCGCTGCACAGGAGACCTACAATGTTACAAATGGCCCAGTCAATCCCTCTTTGAAATAAACAGCACAGCAAGTTCACGCTATCTCCAGATTCCTTTCTATCATATCGTACAAATAACGAACAATGCACAGGGAAGTGAAAGATGAAAAATGTTTCAAAATTAACATTGCTTTCAATTTATGGAAATTGATGCCTGTGTCTGCACTCCCTGGTACTCCGGCAGATCCTTGGAAGCATCTCTGTCTTCACGCAGAACATGTGTGTGTGTGTGTCACTCGCAAGGGCCAGTCATGACATATCTGAAGGTCTGGCAGGGTCGGAAAAAGAGTCTGCCCAGCAGCCCATCCTGCTCAGCTGAATCTGCACATTGACATGATGTTCATCCTCCACAGGCATGTGCTCTACATACGGTAGATGATCACCTTTCCAAACCGCACGTGGCATTTGCAAAAGATTGAGCGCAAAGAAGTTGACGGGATAATTAACACTGCAGGATCTCTGGACAAAGGCTTCACTTGGCAGGAGTGACTTCTGAGGCAAACACAGGAGCGGAACAGGGCGAAGCACGGCTCGTTTACCTGAAACCATGCAGGCACAAAAAAGAATACAGCAGAGCGCAGAGCAAAAGCTGCGACCTGTGAAACATATCTAGCGTACCTCGACCAAAGACTTGCGATCCTCCAACCACTTTACATCGCACCTGTCAGAATCGCACCACAGACTTTACGCAGTCAGAAAGATCAGTCTGACAGAAAGACCTCGAACTCCTCTCCAGCAAATCGGCTCACGAGAATTCCTGAAGAACAGACTGGCAGCAATCCACCATATTTTCAACTGTTGTACCGATTCATTATCCGTCTTGTGGTGCACGACAAACAAATCATTAAGGTTTCGACCCCAGACTTCCGCAGTTCCATTCGTGCTCTCGGCCATGCCAATTCCCTCAGTGCCACGGAGCACATCCGTGAGCGAGGCTGAATCCAAATGCTTGAATCGCATGAAGCACGGATGCTTTGTGAAGCCAAATGGGCCAAAAGGCGGAGTACAAGGCGTAGTCCAGATTGGTTGCACCTCACATGCTTCAAAAAGCAGTCCCCATACCTCAGGGGTTTTTGGTCTCACTCAGCTGGGTCTCATGCTTGGCTCATCACCGATCGGAACCTGAACGACACGGACTGCATGACCAATCCATCAGCATTACCGGACTGCAGAGGTTGCTGTTTCGGGCCTCGTAGGCTGCGCAAAGGACCTTTGCCATCCACTGTGCCGTCATTGACACCCTGGCGTTGGGAGAAAATAGGACTGGTGGTGGTTGGAATGAGATTTAATAAAATACCATCCGCTGCCCAAACACAAGGCATACATCAACAATGGTTCAAATTGGTTTCGCAGGGTCTACTCTGTGCAGAGTCGCCCCTATTTCCTCCTGCAAAGGGATATTGCGCCCAGAATGTCATCGGTCGTCATTTCTCCTTTGGCATGGCCCAGTTTCACCTCGGAATGCAATTGGTCAATCGGATTGAAGGAATTCCTATGAATTCATCCGTGTCTGGCAGGTGCAGGAGCCCTTACGTTTTGTGACTTCTGTATGCTTGGGTGTATTCTCTCGGTCTCTTCTTTTGTATTTTTCGACCGCCCGAGGAAAGGGAACGTTTGGTGGCCACACGATGCATCTGCCGCTGAGCTACCATCCGTCTCACGGATGTGACAGCGGCCGCGCGACAAACAGCTGCAGCATCTGCCGGAGAACCACCCACCTGCGAGGAAGGAAGCAAGCAAGCAAGGAAGGGAGGGAGGGAGCCCAGGACAACAGGACCCTAAAGATAATAAATTTGTATATTAAGTATTCCATCGGATGTTCTGTCCTGCAAAAAATTTCTGAGAAATGGTTCAGGATCCGGATGTCAAGAAATCCTTTGAGTGGTCTGGTGACCAGAGTGGTGTCCTTGCTCTTTTAGGAATGGAATAAAAACTACCTGCCAAAAACAAACGTGAAAAGGCATGTCTTTGGGAGATTCCCTAAAACTTAGGGATTAAATTTGTGGAAATGTGAAACGTGTGTGATGACACGCACAAATCCAGAGAGTACAGGACACATGAAACCTGAAGGCATAAGGTGACTTTTCGCTCAAGCTGAAGAAAGGGTGCGATTTTTTCGGGCCGACGCGCCATATCGGTCGTTGCCTTTTTACAGGTTATGAGCCCAAGGTCACGCTGATCTTGGGTGGTTGGTTATGTCCACAGCCTTTCAACAAAGGCGACGAAAAGCCACGAAGGCTGAGCTGGACCAAGGACAAAGAGAGATGGAAGCTGCTCACAAGCGACTAGAGCAGCAGCGCTTGGAAGGTGATGAACTCCCTCTAGAAGACCAAAAGGAGGGAGAAAAGGGTGGTGGGAATCCAGCTGGTCCCAGTGGTTCTTAGAGGAGTGAACCCCAAATCCAGGGAACACCATCTACGTCAGCCCCAGGTGCCAATGAAGATAGTCGAACTCGTGCATCGGCTTCCACCTTGACCACCAAGACCCCACAACCGACTGTGAGGACTCCACAGCAAGTTCCGATGGCTAGGACTCCTGTACGACCTCAGCAGGCCATCAAGGAGTTGAAAGATGCTGAATGCAAAGAAGAAATGGAAGATCTCAGGACTCCGGAAGATCGCATGATGAGGCCGGGTCCGTCACCGAAGGAAGGAAAAGGTGGGAAGGGAAAGAATGATAGAAGGGACGAAGAAGATCCTATGGGAGGTCAGGAACCTCTTGTTGTGTTCCTGGCAACTCCGCCGGAAGTTTAACTGCCCCTTTGTTCACAGGAGCAGTTGGAAGACCTTTAAACTATGTACCAGCAGGCTCAATTCCTGGAACAAGACGGGAAGAAGAGGCAAGAAGATTTGGGTTGGAGCCAGGGGGAGAAGGGCTGCGAATCTTTGAAGAAAGAATGAAAGAAAGAGAAGAGAAAGATGAAATGATGAGGCAAATGCATCTCCTCATGAAGGAAAACCAAAGGCTCAGGGATCAGACCCTGGGCATCCTGGCCACTGAACGAAGGAAGGAAGAAAGAGACACTCTCACTGCCCGACAGTTGCAGGTCATCGTTGAAGAGAACAGGGCATTGAAGAATCAGGTCCATGGTCTTTACTTTCAGCTGGAGAGCAAGGATGACGAGGTTGTGTTTGCCACCCCAAACGGCAGCTCAGGACTGGAAGAAAATCTTCGAGGAGAGGCTGCAAAAGAAGAAGAAAGGGAAGAAGAAGCAGAAGGCATTCCGAGGGGGAGGACAGGGAAGGGAACCACGGGAAGGAAGAAAGAAGAAGCCTCCGGTGAAGCCTTGCCGCCACAAACGATCAATGTCATTCTGCGACTCATGCAAGGCATGTGAAGAGTCACTCAAAGGAAGATGGAAGTGAAGAAGCTGGAGGACCCCCCCGAAGTTGTCCAGCGTGGAGCGGATCTCCCGAAGCTGCCTGAATGGTCCCCAGAGACCGGTCCGATTGACTTCTCAGACTGGTTGTTGGTCATCCAACCTCTCATGGGTGATCTCAGTAGCTCGGAGGAGTGGTGGCAAGCTATGGTTGAAGCAGCTAAGGCATGGTACATGTCCCACATGGGAAAGACTCCCTTGGAGAGGCTTCAACATCACCCGATGCCTCCACCCATGTTGACTCAGAAGAAATGGGCTCGCTTGGAAAGGCGAGCAGCATCGCTTTTGTTGGCTGCCATCCCAGAAGGCTTGCGAGAAGAAGTGGTGTCTTCGAGATCGCTGAGCACTCTTGGCATTCTCACCAAGGGCATGATACAGTATCAGCCGGGGGGGCTTGCAGAAAAGTCCGCCATCCTCGCTGCACTGGAAAGCCCCCAAGAAGCACAAAGCATTGCAAGCGGGGTCACGACCTTACGAAGGTGGCTCCGTTGGAAGAGGAGAGCAGAGGATCTGGGTGTCTCAATCCCAGATGCTACAATCCTGGTCAGGGGAGAATGGAAGTGTCAAAGGAATGGGATCACCAAGCAGGTCGATATGTATGGCTCATTTCCCAGTCATCCTACGTTGAAGATCTTCTCAATGCAGGTGAAGACAAGCCAAAGTCAAGGAAGATCCCCATCACCAGAGACCAAGCCGGCATGGAGCAGAGTGAAGATCTGCCAACGGCCCAGATCCGGTCGGCGCAGAAAGTGGTGGGAGAATTGTTATGGTTGGACGAGGACCAGACATGATTCGTCTCAAGAATGGGATCAAGCATCCTGAAGAACCCAATGGCTGTGGTCGATGCTGGAAATCAAGCGAGAGGCTATTTGTGGGGCACGAAGGAATTGGGTCTCAAGTACTTGACCCAAGAAGAGGATGAGATGGTGCTCAATGTCTTCACGGACGCCTCCTATGCCCCGAACGCTGAAGAATCCCACGGCTGCTGCATCGTGATGGTGGGTGCCAGTCCGATCTTCTGGAAGTCCGGCCGACAGAGCACAGTGACTCTTTCGACAGCCGAGGCCGAGTTGAATGAGGTGGTCGAGGGCATGACAGCAGGGGAGTCGACCGCTGTGATTCTCGACGAATTGGTTGGCAGGCTCCCTCGAATGGCTTGGACCAGGGCTATCGATACTCACGAGCGAGGAAGCTGGAGGACTCGACATCTTCGGCTTCGATCAGCCTTCGCTCGGCAGTCCATTCAGGAGGGAGAATGGACCATAGGACACACTCCTGGCGAGGACATGGTCGCAGATACTGGGACGAAGGCCCTTACATCCACCAGGTTGATCCAGGTTGGAGGATTTGAAGTCGAAGATGATGATGTCAAAGCCTCAAAAGAAGAAGGAAGAACAGAAAGAAGGAGAAGAAAAGACTATGAGAGAAGATGAAGCCCGACATCAAAAAGAATAAACTTCCAGTCAAGAGAAGGCTGCAACCATCTTGAAGATGACTTTGCTCGCAGCCTCATTGACTCATTGACGATGACGAAGGCACAAGGCCAAGAGGAAGAAGATGAAGTTGACCAGAACTGGTCAAGTGAGATGATGCTGATGGCCTACACGGTCGCCATTATGGCGTTGACGACGATTTTCTGGTGGCTGGTGAAGGAATGCCCTTCTTGAAGAGACATCCACGAGCACGAGAAGTCTTCCTACCTCGCCGAGGGGACCTCAGGGGAAAATCAAAGGCCTCAAGCTGAAGGAAGATGAAGAGGAAGAAAGAAGAGAAAGGGCGTTGGGAATGCCGGAACTTCCAAGGCCATCCGGATTACCTAGAGAGATTCCACTGACACCTCCGATGAATCAGCCTTCAATGCCGGAGGCCAGCGGATTTCCTATGGTGATGATTCATGGAAGACCATTTCAAGTGCCACCTGGATGGACTCAGCCAACGACATGGGCTTAATCCTCAAATGCGGCACATGAGTTGGTCGAAGAAGCACAAAAGAAAAAGGAAAAAAGAAAGGTCGAAATGAGACAACGGGTTAAAGAAGAAGAAGAAGAAGATGATGATGATGATGATGATGATGATGATGATGATGATGATGAGCCACACCCAATGGCATCAAGCTCAACACAGGAGCATGCAAGGCAGCCCAAATCCAAGGCTGCCCCAAAGCCAAAACCGAAGCCCAAGATCAGGGCAAGAAGATTCTCCTCCTGTTGAAGACCGCAGTGAGCCACCAATCTTCACCACGAGGTATGGAAAGGCCTATCACACAAGGCCGACATGTGATTACCTGGTCATCCCAACGACCAGGGAGGTGAGACGATCGAAGTGGTGTGTTATGTGCACACAATCTACAGGAAGGTCGACTATGTTCAACCTGTGGAGCACGGCATGGGGAAACGATGTGCACTCGAATCGTTGCTCTCGGTGCGTTCGAAATGGATAGAATGGAAGGGCAGTTTGAGTCAGCGAGCTCAGATTTTGAAGTTTTTTCCTTTGGTCATGATGACCTAGCGGTCTCAAGGGGGAGTGTGGAAAGGTGAAACGTGTGTGATGACACGCACAAATCGAGAGAGTACAGGACACATGAAACCTGAAGGCATAAGCTGCCTTTTCGCTCAAGCTGAAGAAAGGGTGCGACTTTTTCGGGCCGATGCGCCATATCGATCGTTGCCTTTTTACAAAAATTACAGTAAATATGTAGTGCGAGCGCTATCCTGCGTCCAGTTACAAGGAGCCTCCTACTTATATAATAACTACCAACTAGCTTATGCCTCTTCCTCTTAGCGGCCTACCCCCCTTTAGAAAGAAAAAAAACAGAGTCGAAATGGCCTTGCAAAGCTCCTCTGCGCTAGCTTTGAGCGCTGATGTTTGGGCGAGCCCTTTGGCATTGCGGCAGAGGAGCTCCAGCATCTCCTCAAGCAAACGACATGTTGAACAAACAAAAGGGGCAAGTCACATAGTCAAACCACAATTTGTATTGCTATTGAATTGTTGCTTTGTTCCAGCTTCTCTTCTCATGACTCATGTCTTCTCTTGTCTGCTCTCTTGTGATTTCAAGAGTCCTTTCCTCTTCACTCAATCTTGGCTTCAGTCTGATGTGCATAGAAAAGCGATGGGGCACAAGTAGCCAGGATACCACCTTGTCTGGAGCACTTGTGGTGCCAATTGTTAGAACCAAAGCTTCCGCTGCAAGAGGACTGGCTACAGCTTTCCCTGCAAGAAACTCTCGGTACTCACTCCTCCGAGTCTGAATGATATCCAGCTCACTTCGAAGTGTGTAGGCAATGGCGGTCTCTGAAGCGGAAGCGTCCCTTCCGAGTCCCTCTAGATCAAAGGGATCATCTACCTGAGGTAGCAGCGTGTCAAGATCCTCTAGAAGCAAAGTGCTGGGTGCACAATGTCTTGCCGAAGAGAAGAGCGATGCGACACGTTTTTCGGCATCCCCCACGCGAGATGCCAGGAGGTCTGCTGGTGATGCGGCAAAGAAATGAAGCCCAAGTTCCATGGCGAGTTGCGATGCAGCAAAGGTCTTGCCGCTGCCAGGGCTCCCACTGATCAACACGGCGCAAGGTGGCTCCAGTAACCCGTGGTTCGGTTCGGGATCAGGACCAGCATGCTGCCATGAATTGAAGGGCTTCACAACCAGTGCACGCAGAGAAGAAACAGCTTCGTCCTGTCCCACCACGGCGTCGAAACCTCTCGCATCATCAAATGCCTTAAAATTTTGTGATTGTCTCCGTGCAGCAGAAACTCCGCGCATTGGAGTGGGATCCATAAATGCTCGAGCTTTCTCAAAATGTTCCCTAAGCACCTGCACGGTGCCGTTCTGAGCAGAGGGAACTGCTGCCAAGGCAGCAGAGCGACATAGCGCAACCAGGTCACAGGGCAGGAAGCCACCAGTTGACTTGGCCAGCCATGTCAGAATGTCCGGGCTCTTGGCATCAAGATTCAAATGACGCGAGCATACCTGAAGCACCTCATGTCGTTGCTTCAAGCCCAATGGTATGGGCAAAGTTATGCTCCCTTCCACAGCACCACGCCCCGAAATTTGGGAGGGCTCCGATTCAAAGGATGTCCACGGGACAAGCAATAGAATGGGCAACGACCTCTCATGCCAAAGTTGCAATTCCCAGAGCAGCATGTCCGCAACAACTTGTCGCAGGTCAATGATCTCCCTCAACTCCGACTCATCTTTTTCCTCCAAAGTCTCAGCCCCTTCCAAGATTAAGACCTCAAGCGTAGCTGAAGAAGGGCATAGACTGGCCCTTGCTTTCCGCTCTTGAGCATGATCCGTTGCAAGTCTTAACCTCGCTTGAAATGCTTTGGCCCCAGCATGCCTTTGAGAGATGGCAAATCCAGCATCCAGAACATGTGCCGTGCCTTCTATCACACCTCGAGCGCATGAGAAGCTTTCAACGACTTCCCAATCTTCCCAAACCAAAGAGATTTCCAGCGGCTTAAGAGATTTCTTGATGTTTCTCGTGCCCCGCGACTCCGAAAGCGAAGCGAAAATGGATCCAAGTCCGTCAAAACGGAATCAAGAAACTCATACGAATCTCGGTTGCCACGGTGCCAGGTGCTCCTGCTACGGCGGCGAACTCTTCTGCAAGGTGGCTCTTGCCAGAGCCTGGAGGACCCCGGAGAAGATGGGCACGCGAAGCAGCCTACGGCTTGGAGGTGAGGCCAAAATCGCTCAGTTGTCAGCCCAACCGGCCGAGCTCAAATCACTTGTGCTTTCTGACTACACATGTGAGAGACCGTAGAAGTTGAGGTCCACAGTTCGTGCCTCACATTCCAAGATGGCATGAGCCAGGTGTAGCAGGCTGTCGATCGCCGTGTCGAAGCCCCCGACGTTTTGGCAAATGCACCTGACTGCTTCCATGCGAGATTTTATCTATGAGTCTATGAGTATATGAATGAGAACGAGACAAGCTATAGTAACAAGAAGCTACTAGTAACAAGGCCATCGCTACTAGGAGCAAGAAGCTACTAGCCTCAAAAAGCCTCAAACACACAACTCCATCAAAGCCCCTCTTACTCGGTCCAGGTTCTGTCGCCAAGTCCCAAGGACTGCCATGGCAACGTCTACATGGTTGGACTCGTGGTCGCACGCGCGACTCGTGCGACTGGTACAATGTTCATCGGAGAAAACGGGCCATATCTACCGTACACATATCAACATGGCACAAGCAAGGGGGATCATATCAACGCTCTCATGCTTCCGTACTTGTCATGAACACTGCCCGCCATTGCCCTTTGTTGTTGGGTCCGTATATTTATATATATATATATATGAGAGAGAGAGAGAGATCCTATCCCCAAAAAAGGGAAGGGCGGTTTCTCTTGGTCGGATCATGCTTTCGAACCAGAATAGGGCGAGCAACGGCTTAGCCTTCAGCTCAAGCGCAAGCCACAAGTCCAGGGGTTCACTATGACTATGACTCTAATGACAAACAAATGTTCGTGAATCAAAGCAGGCTGGCACCACCTCAGAACGCCAAAGAAGCCTGGATGGGGTATAGCCCCAGCCACCAAAAGAATAGGGCAATCCACTGTGCAGCTCATTTCGGCAGCTGTCGTGAGGCCATGCTCACAGTTGTCCAAAGATTGTGGGTAGTCTTCGTCGTCGAAGCATTGCACGCTGCGGCGGCTGACACCCGCACCACAAGCACCATAGCCACCGAGAGGCTCGCAAACACCCCACTCGCCCACCACCAACCGAAAAGTGGTTGCGGGTGCATAGAGGCCTTGGAGAGTTCTGAAAAAGGCTGACGTTTCCTGATGTTTTTAATATGACTCGTATGAGACATCCCATGACATGGAGTCTGTGCTTCTCCCCCAAAAAAAAACTAAGCGGAAACATCTGCTTCTGAGAATGTTCCATTGCTCTCGTGTTTTCACGTGCTTTGACTACTCTCAGCACTGCAAAATGAGGCCGTCACCCACTTCTGACACGTGTACCTTGTACACAGTTCCCCCTCCACCCATGGTCTCATGAAAGTTCAAGCGCCAGTAGCGGAAGGATCGAACTTCTCCCTCTGGAAGGTTCCACCTCACCAAACTCGACTCAACAACTCCCCAAGTCACCGACAGCAGGATGACGGCCGTCGCCGTTTTCCGGCGTGGACCCTCCGAAATGCTTGGACTCCAGTCCCACCTGCGAGTTTCACCCGAGGACCACATGGAGCCCACGCTGAAGGGCGATCGCAGCTCATACCAGGCTCGGCCGTTGGACTCTGGAGGAAGATTCGTGGCCTGCAATGAGATCACAGAAGGTCCTTCCTGGAAAGTACAAACCGTGCAGGTGCCGGAGGTGAGGGAGAACTCCGCCAGGGTTCGCACCTGCAGATGCTGAGTTTTCAAGAAACAGCTAGCTATATCTTCTCAGATTGGCCCGAAAAGTGCCTGTGACATCAGGCAAATGAGGACTTTTGTGAATCAGTCTCCAATTCAGGAATCCAGGCCTGGCCCAAGTCATACTCCAACCACTGTGGAGGTGGAGCACCTGAAGTCCAGGCCTCAGTCATGCAAAACAGCAATCTGTGCATCAAATTCATACTATCCAATAATTCCAATATAATTATCCATGACTGCTGGGTATACCCAAAGAAGGAACCCTAGGCACTCGCAAGACTCACTTCTAACCCGAGCGAAGGCCTTGCCTGGCTAAGAAATGAAAACAGCCAAGGGACCGAAAGAACTGCACCATCCACCAAAACACCACAGCCCAGGTCAGAAGTGGCAGAACTTGAGGCAGTACAAGTGGCGCTGCACGCCAAGCCACCCTTTGGGGCGGTCCAAGTATCACAAATGGTCAACACTTGAAATGTCAAACTGTCAACTTGCTTAGTCTCGTTGTGTGTGTGTCTGCCATTCATGTTGTCTGTCTAAAGACACATGTTAGAACTCTTGTTCGTCTGTCGTCATCCCATCATCCTCACTAAACATCACTAATCCTCATTGGTTTATTCCCAGGAAGTCTTGCACCAATATGCTCTTCCACACTCCATATATCTCCAAGCCCGCTCCTCGCAGTTGCAAATGGATGTTCCACAATCTCTCACTCTCACTGGAGCATCTCCAGTAGTACAGCGGTGGTCGCTGTAGCTAACCCCATCGCTCCCTTTACAAACGACCTCGGCTTCCATGCGAAATCTGCACAAGGTGGAAGATTTCCAGGGTCACTCGTGAGCACTCTGATTGCGCTTAGCTGCCGTGCGGTTTTGCGTCCCACCACCGCAGGTCACCGAACAGGGAGCCCAACTTGAGATCTCGAATTCATAGCCCAACTTTGGCATCAAGTGAAGCTCTGCAATGGCCACTTGTGTGCCTCGTTTTAGCAGGGTCGCCTTCCCATCTTCCCGTTCCAACACTGGTATTTTGAGTCTCATACAGACAGCTGGATTGGCGAAGGTGTTAGTGTAGTTGGATCTTGATTAGTAAAGGGGGGGGGGGCCCGCCCTCAAACAAATGGAGGACCTACTATAACAAACTACCACCAAAACAAATCTGGGTTCCTAGGAGGATTCCTTTTGTAATTGATTGTAGTATGTATGTTCCTTTCTGAAGTTCTTTGTCACTAGGTATTATTTGCAATCCTTTCATACTACTACATAAAGGATTGATTAAGGAATTGATGGCTTTGGGAAGCTGTGAGTTTTGAAGAAGAACTATAGAAACCTATACAGTAACCTTTACTTATCAGTACTCTCAGCAAGCCAACCATTGGCTTAGTAGTATTAAGAAGTACTATTATTGTTTTTATTCAAGAAAACACGTTGCACAATTGAGGACCCTTAAAGCAAATTCATTATTGAGGATCCGGGCCTTCCTGGTCTGCTACCTTGAAAGTTTGTTTAGGAGCAATTTTTACATAAAGGATTGATTAGGGAATTGATGGTTTTGGGAAGCTGACAGTTTTGAAGAAGAACTATAGAAACCTATACAGTAACCTATACTTATCAATACTCTCAGCAAGCCAACCATTGGCTTAGTAGTATTAAGAACTGCTATTTTTATTTGTCTAAAGGAAATATAATTAACCCTAAATATTTTTCAGATAATGAACAATTAGGGTCCCAAAAAAATTAGCATAATAGAGGACCCTTAAAGCAAACAGGGTGTCAAGAATTATTTTTCAAAATGTTAGCATTATAGAGGGCCCTATTACTAATCAGCATCCAACATTACAAAGGACGTTCAAAATTCCGCGCATTTCAGTGCACATGTATACTGCCTGTGCCCTCCAGCATTGTCAGCTGGTAGCTTCTCCAAGAAGTGAGGCCTCCAAAGTCGCAGCAAGTCATGCAAAACAGCCTCTAGAATCAATGTGGTCGTACATTGAGCAGATGCTTGCATTGCTGGCTGCCCACATGTGTTCAGCCATAACACCATATATCTTCTTAGAAGCTGCCGGGACGACTCGCATGATTTTCAGTCTCAAGGTCAGCCGCATTCCGCGCCTCCAAGGTCTCGAATGTGTGTGGTGCCATCCTCCCAAGTTTGTTGATACACCTGCAACACCGAGCAAGCGTTAGGATGCCGTTTGAGGCCAATCTTTGGCATTCAAGAAATGTACAGTATATATATATATGTTTATTTATGCGAGGCAAAAAATAAGACTGACAAATATGCTAAACGCAATTCTGGATGTCAATGCAAGGCTTTCAATCGTCCTTGACTTGAGGAACTCCAATGTGGACAAACGAAGCAAGAACATCCACCCGCAGAACAAAGTCCGCCTTTTTCGGTGGAATCCCAGAAAAAGGATAAGAAAAGCCTCCTATCTGATGGAGAGATTGGTTTGTTGCTGATGTTCAGCTGACCCCAAACCAAGCAAATAGAAAAGTCAAAACTCCGACACCCAACAGCTTTTGCGTGGCTTCGCCCCTTCCAACCGAAATAGCTCCAGGGTGGTCTGTCCAACCGCCTCGTCCAAGGTCTGACGATTCAAACTGAAGGGCTCCAGGCCCTCCAGGCGCCAAGCCGTGGGCGCCAGGTCCGGACGTCCGGGCACCGAGGTGATGGCATAGGAGCCCAGGGCGACGTATTCACCACCTGCGGACCAAAGCTGGGTGGGGAAAAAAGGGAGATCACCACGACTTGGTACAAAGGCAAAGACTCCACCAAGTAGCTCATACATGCTCCTACTGCCTATCAGTTTATCATAGATTATCAATCCAGCAGCTGCTGAGCATAGCACCTTCAATCCTCGCTTCAAGCCACTGTGGTGCTGGTGCTGTGGACGCCCTCAGGTGCTTCGATCGTTGGGTTGGGCTGGCTGGTTCAAAAACTTGATGACTGATGGTCATTTCACCAACTTTTCAACTTCTTAATGTTTTTTGGGGGCGCTCTTCCTACTGGTTAGCAGTGATACTCCATTTGGGTCCTGGCGCATGGAGGTTGGGGCTAACGTGGAGGAATCCTTCCATTTGGATGGTCTCTTAAATGGAACACATCGATGTTGGCTTTCCAAAATATCTCCGGCTATGGCAAGCTGATGCAAGCTGATTCCCAGGTCTTCACCCTCCCCATCCATCCCCTAGTCCCTCGTCAAGTCTCCAGGAGCTGGACAGATTCCGGTCCAAGGCCATGGAGCAAAACTGCGCATTGCTCGAGGCCCTGAGGCGGTGACAAACAAAAATAGACACTGTTTTGAGAAAACGGATGAAAACGGTAGAAATCCAAGATCCCGAAAAATGTTGGATCCAAAATGATTGAGAAAAGGAATGCCCCCACAGCTGGGTAAAACTTGTTAAGACTTAAGGATCTACAACAATAATCAACAATAGCCAAGCTTCTCGCAGGTGCCAGTTTCCACGTTGAAGCCGGCACACGGCAGGTTTCCCCAGAGGTATCCAAGGAACACCGTGGCAAGCCTTGCTGGATATGGCAGCATGGCTCATTCCTCTGTCATCCTCTGTCTCAACCCGCAATCATTTTGGGCTTGGCGCTTGGCTTGCCAATACCTTGAATTCATGTTTTGTGTTTACATCACAAAGTGATGACCGCTCTTTGAAATCGAAGTGATTCATCTATTTTCGTTCATGACGTCTCTCACTGTGAAGCAGCTAGATGATGTCGGCTGTCAGTTTACGACTTTCTTTCCATATCGTATCAAGTGCTCTTTGGGCCATGACTCCATGACTATCAATTGTCAACACGTGGCAGACTACCACGCCCCAACGGCCTACTTGTCCCCAATTGGAATAGGCTATATGTCTTGCTTTGCTTCAAGCAGCGAAGAAAGAGGTCTAAAGCGGCTAAAACAAATCGTGACTCATGATGCTGTTCCGTTTTCGCTCGCTTCTTTGGCATTGGCTTTGAGTGGGTGAACCGCACTTTGTCAGCTCTCAAACTATTCACAAGCTCTGCGCTTGAGAGAAGGATTTTCCGACACAAAAGCAATCATAAATCATAAACATCTACAGGATCTGCAGCCCTTTTTCAGGCAGAAGCCCAGGGTTCCAGGCAGAATGAGACATTGAGTTGAGGTGCACCTGTAGAGTAGCTCAATCTGTTTTAGATCGAACTTCAAAGCTCAAGGACTTTGATCTTCGCTACTTTCAGCTCCCTCGGCGGCTTCAGACCGGACGCATAGCTGAGCATGTCTAGTATAGCATGTGTCAAAACCCATTCTTGCCTTGGCCCAGTCTGGCGGGGGCCCTCCGATCCACAGTTCTTTTTCCTCGGCCTCAGATTTGGTGCTGAGGGTGCTCAGGTTGGCATTGCCGAAGACTGTAAAAGGATTACATCACAGAATGTCCGGTGTGTCGTCTGAATCTGAAATGGATCTCTATCGCCTATCGCTGTTTTGCATGTCCTCAGCTGCAGGCACTTTCAATTAACGTTGCTATCAATGACTCTGCCGACGGCAACGCCTCGAGTGCTTGTGCAGCAAGGAAATCACAGAATCCTAACAGTTCATCTGACCTTCAAGAACTCAGGCGTGAAAGCCTCAGTGCATCAACGCAAACTGTGGCGACCAGAGCGTGCGAGGTCAACGTTCAAGATTTTAGTCGGTCATTAAAAGGTGATGGCTTTTTCGGTAGTTTCCAGTGTTCTTCAGACTATATATTAGCTTCGAAACTTTCCAGTTTCTCTCGAAAACTGTTCTTCGATAACTTCACGGTTTGATCTGTGCAAAACCATGTTTGGGAACTGTGCGGTTTTCAGAAACTAACATTAATGGTAACTCCTCGGAAACTCGTAGATCGCCAAGTAGTTGCGGAAGATTGAAAAAAAAAAAAAGAAACGTGTCTGAAGAATGCAAAATAGTTGCTGAGAAGGTCTGAGAAGATCTGAGAAGACAAGTTGCGGAAGAATACCAAATAGTCACAGAAGAAAAAGGTTCCGAAGAATGCAGAGTTTCAGAATGATTAGGACTTTGTTCCACCTGTACATCACTCAGCTCAGAGCACGAGGTCTTAAGAATCCGGAGGCAAAGGCCTATCAGCGTCGATGTTGATGTTTCAGACGCATCACACCTATTCACGTTTAGGGCCTTGGAGGCAGTCGCTGGCGTCAGCATCACCTGGAATCCAAGGTCTACACCATCCGGTTCCAGAAAAGCAGTCAGTTGGTCTAAGGTTGGAGCTGGAAGGTCAGCTGCTGCCTCAGAAAAAAATACAAAAATAGAAAACAGTATGCTTGCCTGAATGGTACAGTTCTGCTTCGAGAGAGTTCTAAGCCAGTCACTGCATCCGATTTGCCGCCCTGCATCGACTGGGAAAGCACCATCGACTGAGGAGTCTTGTGCAGCTGAGTCTGAGACAAGGCGATCTTGCCTCAGGGAAGGAGTCATGACACTTGAAAACGCATGTCCCAGGGTGAAGAGGGTGAAAAAAGATACGCTTGCGCCAAAACCTTGACCCAGTGATCCATCAATAAGTGTCGGTTGTGCATCATTAGTACACAACTCGAACAAAGAAATAAGACAAGACAAACAAGTAGGCAGGATGATTCCACTTTCACCTTTGAGCCCAGCGGCGCAACGTTGCACATTGTGTGAAGGAAAGACGCAAGGTATAGAGCTACAAAAGCCTGAGGTCGTTGTGATCTGCTAGTCTTGGAGGAGTCACGAGTACAGCAAAATGCTTTCGAAGTCGATTCTTCAGCTAGTCAGCTAGTCTTTTGGAAGGTGAGATGCATCACACCCTTCAAAACGTGCCAGCTCGGCAACTTCCTTTGGAAGCTTCTTGTGGAACAACTCCACCTTGACAAAATGCCGCAAGTGCGCGGGGTTTGTCGGCAAAAAGAGTTGGTGATCTTCGTCATAAGCGACCAGCCAAGAAATCTCTCTGGCTTCCGACGTCACCTGGCCTCAAATCCACGCCCCGGACTCACCCACAGACGAACGACTGGCTGAGGGGCACAGCCGGGCACAACACCAATCAATATGAAGTATATTCAGTATTCAGCTAAACCGTATAGCAATGGAGCTTACTCTCGACTGTGAGAATCTTGAATTTGCCGGAAAGTGCAGAAATCATCAAACAACATCCAAAAATTACTACTGTATAACAAAATATCCTGCCGCAGTTTTTGAAATTAGCTGGGAAGTGGAGTCCGTGCTCAGTCTTGAGAATTCAAATCTAGAAAAGGTGTGTTTTTGGTGAGTATATAGAGGCATCAAGTGTCTCAGGAAAGGACTGGATCGGGTCTTTCTCCAATCGGTCCATTGCCTCCAAATGTTTCAATCACAAGCTCCCAGAGATTCTGAGCGGCTGTTTAGCGCTTTCCATTGACCCCGTTGCCTCAAAGGAAAGAAGCGGACTTGGCAAACAGTCCAACCATGCCTTCAGGCAGCACCTGCCGGAGAAGCACTTGGCTTACTGCACTGACATAAAACACACGACCAAGGCCACGGCCATAGCAAGGCAGGGTCCAAGTCGCGGGGCAAAGGATTGCCCGTGTCCACGATATTCAACTTAGTCAAGACCCCCAAACTGGAATAGAAACAGTTCAGCCAGGTCAATTTCTAGGATGATATGGAATATTAATATTAATATTATGCTATTCACGTCAGTTCCCCAGCTGGGATCCTTGCCAAGTCAAAGATTTTGCCATCGACATCTGAGAAGTAAAGGATCGAAATGAATCTTCTCTTGTGGTGAAACCTGTCTAGGTAAGCGGCCAAAAAGACGTCCGAATTCTTCATCAGCAGCTGACCTTTCAAGAGCCTCAAAAAATATGACGTTGGAAAGAATCTTTCATTGAATGAAGGGTTCTGCTCTGCTCCCTCTCCCTCTGCCTCCTAAACATGCATACATTCACATCAGTGTGAGTGTGTGTGTGTGTGTCTGTCAGCATGTGTACGGTTACAGTACAAACTGCATTGATCAAACAGGGTGCGCAGGTGAGTCAAGACTGCCCTGGGCTACAAAAGTATTATGCCCCTTATCTTTCTATTTTGTATCCGCCGACCCAGGTTTGGACCGGGGAGGTGCCAGATCCAGCGCTCGTGGGATGGAGCCTTTCAGGTGAGCCTGGTCAATGGTTGAAGAGGCCTTTATAGGCAGGGTTATATCGGAGCAGGGGCTCTTAGTCAAATTCCACGCTAGGCCACGTTGCCTCCGTTGGGGTCGATTTTGGTTGTTTCGGTCTAAATGGTCTAATCCCGTTTGGAGGCCAGCTGGTTAAATATGGAATGAACTCTGGATCTATATTGGGCGCCTTTCCACGTGTTTGAAAGCCCTGTTTGAAAGCCGTGATAGGCATAGTAAACTGTGGGTGCCCGGCTTCAAAGGTGACGTTAAGGCCCCGTTAGGCATGCGCTGGGTGGTCGACGTTGTCCATCTGCGTGAAACTAAATGGTCCCGCTTCGAGGCCTTCAACACGGAACCTTTTTTGATGCTATGGGGCTCATGGCCAAGTAGGGCAAGCTGTTTCGAAAGGAGAGGGACAGGGATAGTCTGATCCCAATTCGATTTCTCCGCCGACCCCGGCCTAGCCAAAGCCTAGGCGGGGAGGCGCCCGAGACACCGCAGGGTGCAACATTGGCATTGGCATCTCTACCTCTGCTTTCATGTCCTGGCACTACCACCAAGCCGTGGGCGGTTCATGTCCTGGCCGAGCCACCACCCCGTGGGCTGTTGGCTTTTTTGAGCCGGAGCCTTGGGAGTGATGCCAGGCAACTAGAGCCCTCACTGCGAAACCCGCTGGTTTGCCGCACGCGTGCACCCCCCTGAAAGCTGTGGCGACACAGATTGGCGGAGCCTTGGGAGTGAGCCTCTGGCAATGCCAGGCAACTGTTTTATGGGCCCCTGAAGGCAACGAGCCGCTGGCACACAGATTGCTGGAGCCTTGGGAGTGAGTCTGGCAATGCCAGGCAACTGTTTTATGGGCTCCCGAAGGCGACGTGCCAGGCGACGTCAGCAGGCAGCAAAGGGGTCGGCGGCACCAGGGCGAAGCCCTTACAATCCGGGCGCCGGCCACGGGCCCGTGTCCTTGCCGGAGGCCTTCGGTGGTAACCGAAGGTTATATACGCTCGCCGCCCCTGCCGCCGACCCTTTTGTTGGACCGCGTGTATACCCCCGCCCGAAGCGTGTCGACAGATTTTTGACGGATTTTTATGTTATTTATATTTTATCTACCAGCATGATTGCGCATGATGTGGAAAACATCGTTTTTTACAGTGTTTCGTGGCCTTCGGCGGACATGACTTGCGTCTAACAGGGCACTGGTGGTGTCGGTTATGCGCGCCGCGCGGACGGGCTTAATCGACATTTCGTGGGTGTTGGGCACAGAAGTTGCCTAACATTTCCCCAACATAGGCCCAAGATAGCCAACATATGCCCAACATAGCCTCCAAGATGGCTCAACATAGGGCCGACATATGCCAACATGGGGCCAACATACGCCAACATAGGCCCAACATAGGCCCAACCTAGGCCAACATAGGCCTAACATAGGCCGACCTAGGCCCAACATAGGCTCAACTTGGGCCCAAGATGTGCCTAACGTAGACCACATGGGCTCAACTTGGCCCAACCTAGGGCCAAGAGCGAAACCGTTGAACACAAACCCTCACCCTGCTTGGCCGGCGCCCGGCTGTCAGGCGTAAGCCTCATAAATTTTGGACCGAAGAAAATGCGGCCGCTCTTGCCATGCCAAAATGGCGGGCTGCTCTCGTCCGCTGCGGACTACTTGTGACGTTCAAGCACAATCCAAGGTGGCAGGGCATAAGACTACTCCGTCCGCTACGGACTATTCTGCTCTCCGGGTACGCCCTAGGCTGGCATAAAGTCAGACACACATGAACCTCCAACGGCCTGAAGTGCAAGTCCCAAACTTCCAAGTTTCCACAAGGCAAGTCTCAAAGCGAGTACAGTGTTGCAAGTTCGAACGGAAAAACGATAAGTGCGTGTCTGCAGACCTGATGTACCTAGCCAGCCTGGCAATTAGAGTGGGATGTATCTACGAGCGCCACAAACCATCAGCAGGTACACAGAGGTGATCAATCTCCGCTTCCACCATCGTGGAATAGTTTCGTTGGCACAGGTATCCACGATGGGCCTGCCAAGTAACAGTACTCAAAAGACCACAGGCTCCCTCTGAATCCAAGGGCTACACACACACTGAGATAAAGAGCTCAACTGAATGAGCAAAGTTTCAGAAGCTGGATCGACGAACTCGTTGGCCGCATTAACTATTAACACTTTAGTGCGCAACACCGAATGGGAACAGTTTGTGCAATACCTAGGTTCTCAAAAGACTCAAGTGCAGGTACGTCGAGAGAGCGTCCCCTCTCGATATCCTAGTTTGAACCTGGAGCTTCGTTGGCTCACGCCAGGAACAAACCCGTGAGCCCCCTGCTTAAAGAATTGAAGCAAGCGAAAATGAGCAAAACTCTTAGGGACAGAGTTTGACACACACGCATGGGCACTTCCCAATACACAAAAACTGGCGAAACAGGAACGTGAGCTCAAACAGGCGATCCAATTTCCCTACAATCCAGCCACTTTCTGGAGTGACGCATGTCCAGGTAATGGACTTGCTGCTATCAACTTCTCGCTTTTGAGTTGCAATTTGTTCTCCAAAACGGATCGATCCTACCCAATCTTGGCTGTTTGACGTGCTTATGTCGCCTTTCCCAGCCAAAGACACTCGATTGAAGAGTGTTTGGCCTTTCACTCGAACCAGCTTAGCCTGTACCTGACAGGCCGCGGTCTTGGGCCTCTGGTCCTGCATTACTGTCGTCCTTCCGCTGCAGCAAACGTTCCTCACTATTCCAAGCCATGAACGTCGACCAAAGGCCACTGTGATTGACTGCAGCTACACCCGTAGCACAACCTGTAGCCTCCAGTCCACAAGCGTGTTGTGGTAAAGTTTAAAGATCTTCAGAGATGCCAGTTGCCAACTCTCACTCTTCATCTTCTGGCGCTGGCTCTGCTTTGAGAAGCCCATCTGCGCTCCATTGCAAAGATGTCCGACAAATTCTGTGGCCCCAGGAAAAACAATTGCTCGTACATAGTATGCATTTCTTGGATTGGCAACAAGTCATTGGAACGTAAACCCGTCCAGCTTTGGGGCCACAAAATGAGCCTGGTCGGCAGCAACGGGCGGCAGCCCGCCGATTATTGTTTCTATTTATATATATTTTTTTGCACGCCTTTTGGGACTGCATGAGGTTATGCGAACATCTGTCGCAGGTCTCTCTGGCGCATGTACACGCAGCGGGCTCTAAGCCTGCTGGTCAGTACCGGAATGCCTTCCGATATTCGAGTGCGTGCGTGACATCGCGAGCACTCCAAAGTGTGGCCGGTGCGCACCATAGTGTGCGACCCGTGGCCTTCCCAAAGGCTTGCTTCCAGTGGTCCATGGTAGCATGGTTCTCCCACAAACCGGCTGAAAGCTTCCTCATTGGTCCTGGCTAAGATGTAGCACCGACAGACTGAGCACCTCAGGTAGGCACGGTCCAACTGCAAGTGATGGACTCCTTGTTGTGGGCCTTGCTGGGCAGCTATCAGGGCATGGATCATCTCCATCCTTGTCTGCTTCGGTGGGCTAGGGCGGACTTCTTGTTGGCAAGGTTTGTCTGAGGCTTCCTTCAACTCACTCAGGAGACTCTTGCTGTGGTAGCGCAAGCGGCACACGCGGCATTGGATGCCACTTCTGAAGACCTCCCATTGATGGCCCATGTGAGAAGTCTTGTGCAAAAGATCTTGCAGGATCTCCTTCTTTTGCTGAACAAGCGGGATCTTCTGTTGGATGTCGGCTTCCTTGCGGTGCAGGAAATGCTCTTTGCACCTGAGCAGAATGCTCATTCGCTCACCTGCACTGAGAAGGATGGCATGGGCATCATCATCTATGCGTGATTGCAAGTCGAGGATCTCCTTTGGTTCAAAGAGCTTGCCCGTGTTGTCTGCCGCCTTCTGGGTGTCGTTCTGAGTGACTCGTCTCATATCATTCTGCTCCAGTTCAGCTCGGGAGAAAAGGAGAGGCCAAACATGATCGAAATCTTCAAATTCGAGGCCCGTGAAAAGATCCGGAAAGGTTTCAAAGGCAACATGCGGCTTCCAATTCTTCCAAGCGGCTGCGTCATATAGTGCCACTGGAGTCTTCTCCAAGACATGCAGAGCAAGCTGCTTCATGGCATAGAAGATGGCCCTCTGTTTGGTGGCGGGGCCAGGACAGATGCCCGTGATGGAGCCGACTTGCTGCTTGTTGGTGGTCAGGTGCACACAGATTGCAAAAGCAAAGCGCTTGTGCCTTTTATCACCACAGGTGGGTGCCACAGCGATGGAGCATATGTGACCCTTCTGCAGTCTGAGGTGCCCCAGATCTTTCCATACCCCGGTGCCTTCCAGGGTGGAAGAACCTTCTTCCGGCTCATAGAAAATGCGCTGAACCAAGCCTCTCTGCCAAAGCTCGGGATCTGTGCCAACCTCCAGGCGATTGGTCCATTCCTTGGAAAGTGGCTTGACCCTTCCTTGCCAAAAGGAGCACTGCCACAAAAGGTGGATGAAGGTCAACTCAACTCCACACAAAGGACAATGTCCGGTGAGGCCATGCAAGGTGCCCTGGTGAAAAGCTCTCAACCCAGTGGCGATGGCCTCGCTTGTGGTTCTCTGGATGCGCTGACTGATCATCCAAATCCAACGGCCTTTCTAGGTCATGGCACCCATCATACCTGGTCAGACGGAGAAGGCGTTGCCACCGGAATTCTTGAGTGAGCTTG